TTGAAACCCTCGAGAACACCATGCTTAGTGACACACACAGGTGGTGGCCAGGGCAGCAAATACCGGCCCGTGAGTCTGACGTTACTCCTGCTACTAAGCTACTCCTTGACCTAGGTGGAGGTGCCAACACACCAGGGCGCCGGTCGCTGCCCGAGAACCCCGGCGGCGCGCTTGTAGACCCAGACAGGACTTGCTCAAACCGCGCTGGTGGCGTTTTTTGTGCCTAGCATCCAGAAGGGGTGTATCTACACGGATACTTGGGAGAGGTTGGGGAACATCTGGGAGACCATTCCGTAAGATTTTCCTTGTCAGCATTCGCTCGTTAACCATTTGACCGGCCCAAGAATGTTTGTACCCTCTGCTCATGAATGTGAACGGGACAAAGAACAGCATGCCAGCCTGGTGAAATCGAGCTAGCCGCCATTGGTGACGCCGATAAACAAAAGAAGAACGTGACGTCCAAAATCATCAGGCAGCCCCCATTATAGGTCAGAGTGGTATTAGTCTTTCAACACAGTGCTAGAGGTTCAACATAGCCCTCGTAGGTCACATTGGCTATGATCTTCCCAAATAACCGCTATATCCGAGTAATCGCTATGTTGAATTGACCGTTATATTGAAATTATCGCTCTATTAGGATAAAACCTCTGTTGGATCTCTGTTGGAGTGATCACTCTGTTGGGACTCTGTTACCCCTATTATCATGAAAAACCTCTGTTGAGGGCTCTGTTGGTAATAGGACCTCTGTTCACAATAGGGGCTCTATTTCACTCGTATCTGCAGTAATCTAGGTATTTACACTTCCTTTAACACTTCCTTCAACACTCCCTTCAACACTCCCTTCAACACTATCGATCCCACCGCCAGAGCCATTGCCAGAGCCATTACAGAAGCCAGGAAAGGTGTGATCGAGGGTCTCGTCACCAGTGTTAGTACTGATCCTATCGCAGGTGTAATAGCCACTTACAAGGCAGTCAACACAGTCGACACAGTCAACAGCCATCACAGCCATCATCACTGCCACTACCTACTAGGTGCCTAGGACCTGGCTACTCTAGTGAGGGACGTACACACAGAGGGCTTCAAGTGGCGTAGCCGGCTACCTACCTGGCCTCCTAGTTGACTGTCACTTCGCTTGAAGTGTGCTTGAGAAGGCAGTCAACTGAAAGGCCAGGTCAGCAGCCGGCTACATCGCCTGAAGCCCTTTGGAATGTGTGTGGGTGTAGGTGTGGGTGTGAAGGGAAGAGGAAGAGGGAGGAGGGCAGAGGGAGACTTCAACTGCCAGGCAGCCATGGCAGAGATGGAAGGCATCGTGATTCGGAAGGTGCTCCTTTGGAAGTACCTTTGTATACTAATTTGTATGTACAGGTGCAAGTTTTATTCTGCTAACTAAGTGTTAAAATGGGGCCCCCTCCGATAGGTAGTGATGGTAAGCGTTCCAAAGTACTTTGGTACTTTCTCACTTAGGAGGGTGCGGCCTCAATGATTACCTATTTGTGACGGCAAGAGGGCACATACTTGGGAACATCAGCGTGATTACACAGCCTCACTTTGCTGCCAACAAAATAGAGCGACTGCATTTCACCCTTCTTACCTCGCACGCTCAGTAGCTCTTGGGCCCATCTGAGCCAACCCAACTGTTTGCGCATGAACAATCGCGACAAACTCGCAAACATGGATGCGTCGGATTGTTTCAGCGCAATGCTGGAGCTCCATACCGAGAAATTCGCCCTGGACTCTATGAGTCACGAGAAGCTTGGTTCCACGGATCCCGTCGACAATGCGACCAACCCACATCTAGATATCCTGAGCTTGATCTCAAGTCAGGCTATCGCTCCTCGTTTTGCAGAAACAGCTGCTTGTCAGTTGGAGCAGCACGAGTTTATCTCACTCGTCAAATTTTTCAAGACCTGCCGCCAAGATCGCCAATCACCAGTTAAGAACAAAGAGCTTGCCTCCATTCTAGAGGAGAAACTCGAAGCCTTCTACGCTACAGAAACGCAGCTGTCAGGACAGGATCGCACACGACTAGCTACCCCCTTAGGCCGTGGAAATTCGGCTTTGGGACTCATTCTTCACGTTGCAAGTCACGATAAAGACGCTACCGCATTCTGGGATAAGAGTTCCACCACAATCTCACTACTTTACGAAAAGGGTCTGAGGGATGACATGCTTTTTGGTTATGATTGGCATTGGCGGGCTGAACGTGCAGATGACCGTGGTAAACCACATTGTTCGACAGCAGCCTGGCCGAAACAACTCAAGGAGCTTCATGATCAGTTCTCGACCGAGGTTGCGAGTATCATACCGATGCCATCTCTTGTTGTTGCAGGCGCCTGTCCGATAAGATCATATACAAGGTCTTTGGACAGATCGGCTAGGCTCGTGGAAATCATGCTTTTTCCGCCCGACGGAAAGTTCCGATTCTGGCTAGAGTTTGACATTGGAGGTCAACATCTAAAAAGGCTTACCCTGCTTCTCGACCACCCCGCCGCTATCTTCTATGCAAACCAGACACTTGTTCGCAAGATCACCACCTGTCTTGATGCTGGTATTAATATGATTCTATGGCTACTTGGTCAGCCACACACAACGGATTGCTTCCTTAGGAAGGCATTTATCTGCCATTATACCCGTTGGGCACCCGGAGGCTTCGAGTACGGCTTGAAAGGAGCACCTCTAGCGGAACTACACGCGTACAGACGACAAGAATCCAATGACGGGAAAAACTTGCCTCTGGATCGTTACTCCGCACGGTTCCTTGAATGGGCTGCCAAATACTTAGGGGCAGACCCGGCTTCGGTCTTGCAACAGGGATCATCTTTCGTGAACAAAATTCAGGCCAGAATCACCGCTAGAATTTGCCAAAGAAGGGCGAATCGAAGGGAAAGTGCAGCTGACCAAGATAAGAGATTCGGAGCAGTTGAGAAACGTGTAAAAGGCAAGCGGAGTACTTCGACTACGGCGCAAATCATACAGCCGTTCCAACAAGTCTCACCTAAGGATCACCATCAACTGGCGCCATTGAACTTCACCCCAGATGAGATACAGCAAGCTCTGTAATGGTTGAACCATACTGCTGTGCAAAGTAGTCCAGGAGAGGCCGACCGAGAAAACCCCTTTGAGCATCTTTCTCCACAACAGATGCTGTCAATGGAGTACGAGATGGCTGTTGCTGAAGCCCTTTGTTCGCAGCAGCTCCAAAATCTCAATGAAACGCTCACTCGGACCGAGCGCCACAAAAAGGGTTTGAATATGGAAAATGCTCTCAGAGTAAAACTTCATCAAATTCGCACGGGGTACGGGGTAGCGATCAAACCAAGGAAACGACACCATTCTCGTGTATCAACAACGCCTGATCAAGACCAAAACTCGACGAGAACGACATCTCAGCGTATCAATCTGCCTAGTCTCGATACTAGCCCCGACCCCGAGGAAGTATTGGCATCATCAAGACCTGCGAAAAGACCAGTCCAAACAAGGCGCAAATTACACGAATGGAAGAGAGCGCTTTTATCCGGAGAGACTTTTCATCATCTCATCCAACGAAATGGTAGGATGCGCATTCACCTGCCTTCAAATCAGACGTCAAGATACCCGCTGAAGCTGACCCAACAGCTGTCTTCCTCCGCTGTCACCTTGTCCCGAATGGACGCCAGCACAAGGATTATTTCGCTTTAGATGCTATGATTGGTGACCCAGCACGGCGACTTGGCATCCAGATTCAATACCAAGTACCTGAGTTGGGCTCAACCCAGACTCAAACAAGGTGGGTGACGGCCACGGGACTGGGAAATGCAACGAAGAGTAATTCTTTGGTCGCGCTTCTTGAAGGCCAAAGCGTCAATGATAACGAGCAAATATATGAGACTGGTAGAACCGGCGGTATCCGGCGAGATACACCGATCTTGTCCGAGAGTGTGACCGGTTCTAAAAGAGACCTTGACCAGGTGGATCAGCCCATATGTGGCCCAAAGGCTGCGTCTCTCGAGGTTGAGTACAAGTATTTACGGGGAACAGTGACAAACGCAACATCGGTGAGGCAGATCGACCTGAATACCAAGAGAGGTCGTTATTTCCAGAGTTTCCAGGTAGACGGGGTGGATAGATAGTAGGTAAAACTGGTGGACCAAGGAAGCTTTCGCTGGGTCCCTGGGCAGACGTGGCCTGTTTGTATCAAAGCAACGGTGAGCCGAAGTAGTAGGAGTCATACGTGAGGGCTCGAGGGAGATGCACAAACCTTGTGTGTTGGCCGTCATCCATTGTTGCCACTGCTGCCATCGATGCCGGGCCAGACCCTAGCCATATATGGAGACCGCCTCCACTGCCTGCCGCAGTCCTGAATAGTTCATCCTCATCACCTTTTACTCTGAGTGTGTGTATGTACCTGATATTGTGAGATACTACTATGTCAAGTATGTCATGCATGAAACCCAGTCCTCGGTTTCGACTGGGGAGGCCAAAACGGGAAGGAAAAGGTCATTCAGATCTATTTACAACTTTCTTGCAGCCATACCGGACTACTAAAGGGGTGGTTCGCACGCTCCGTGATGCCCGGGATGATACCAGGGCTGTGGTGACATGACTAGGATTCGAGAGACAATTCAATACGGTGGCTTCGAACAGACCAATTGCATGTCGCTGAAGACCATGTTACCCCTGGGTAACACACCGTGCGACCATCATTGACGTGTTATAGTCGCGCAGCCCGGCCGCAATTTCTGGACCAAGATATCTCCCTCTCAGTTGAACTGGGTGTTTCCCAACTGAATTCAATTGATACCCCTGCTTGTCTGTATTTCGCCCGCGCACTAGATCTCCTCATTGTAGGTTCTCATAAGCATTTTCAAGTAACAATTTTGAGTGTCACTAGGTACTTAATCAGTAGCTCTCTATTCCCAATCTGGTAAGCGTGCCCTTTCATTGAGGGACTATGGGGTATCTTACTATAGTCATTCTTGAGTGGGAATAATATTCAATTTTCATAACTTATCGTAACCGGTCGGTTAGCTCAGTTGGTTAGAGCGTCGTAAGTTCTTACTATATCATTACCAAGCTGGCATTCCACTAATCCGCCTCAGGTACTAATACAAAATACCATTGTATAAGTAATGCGAAGGTCATGAGTTCGACCCTCATACTGACCACAATGAACCTTTTGTGCTTTTAGAGTTTTCGTTTTGCTTCAAAGCGATTTATCCTTTTTATGATTGCAGCAGCTATAACTTGAAACGGTCTGCGTTGTCGCTCTTTCCCCATGCTTGAAACAAAAGCAGTGAGCCATTGTTTTTGCGGTCAATATGACCTGCATACCTACCTACATCTTAGTCTGGATCCCGCCTTTGGAGTAGGGGAAGGAGTATGACCCGGCGGCTCGATAGGTTCCGTTTCCTTTAAAACGGTGCAACGGTAGAGCCAACACGCCGATGACAAAACGGAGGCCCGGCGGCCACGCCGTGGGTCGCAGAGCTTGCGGGGCCGCTGTACCGCCACGACTGGCTGTAATGAGTCAGCTCAGGCCTCGTGCCGAGTTCCCAATATTGCACTTCGCATATACTAGGTCCGTACAAACACCGTTTCAAGGTCTGGGTTTGTCAAAGAACTTCAAGAGCCACAAGTTACACTCCAGGATTTCCTGTGGCGACGCTTACCGGACCATCCGTCATCCATAGCTGTGAGACGGGTTGGAAGAAAATCAGACACTACCTATCCTGGGCGAGGTCCAATTTTAGTATCGGTCAGCGGCGCTGCAGGCTTCCAGGCCGCAGTCAGCACCTCAGCTACGTTCCTGTATCGCCTGACATCGCCAGATTCCCTCGAAGGCGCAGAAACTTGTATTCAAGCTACCGCAGCCGAAACCCCCTTGAGTGCGGGTAAAGTCCCTGAGTTAAGGTGCTTACTATTCGCCGTCTCTTTATTGCTTTCTTTCTCTTCTTCTCGTCATCTTTATTCTTTCCACAGTTTCGTTTTGCTGTGTTGCTTTGAGAGAGGTACATCTTGATGTTGTCACTAGGGAGTTCGACCCCTTAAACACTCACGACTATGATCGGTACGTGCGTATCCGCATAGATACTCTATCACTTGCTGCACCTGTTATGCGTGTCTAGTAACTTTATTTCGGCTGGTACAACTGCTCCAGATATTTTCCTTGGTCGAAGCGGTGAATCTGGAGAAGATGGATGTAGTTAGTGTCTACTCATTGCACAGAAGCATTGACCTGGTTGAATGTGGCAGCTCGCGAAAGGTGATACTGTTCGACATAATTTTTTGAGGTCTCAAAGACTTCGCGGTTGGCAAAGTGGCAAGCCTCAGGCTGTTCACCAGCACCCCAGAAGCACTTGGTCGTATCGACCTTCTCGCGGGGAATATTGTACTCCTTGAAGGCCTTTTCCAACGATGACCTCGCTAAAACCGGGAGAGTAAACTTAAGCTATGTCCCAGGTATCAATTCCGCGGTCCTATGCAGCCCTCAGCAGGGGGCAGGCCTAGCGTTCTGATAAGTTCTCGCGTTTGACGCAATACGCGGGTGCGATTACACACGTATTCTCTAGGACTGCCCATGACTGCGCTTTCGTGTCGCCGAAGCTCATGTAGCCTAATATAGGAACTGATATCTTTAGACCACTGCAGGTCATACTGAGTTTGTGAGGCCATCAGTTGACTCAATGCCTTGCATATGGTAGGATAAAAGTCACGTCGGCCCTTGTCCTATCACAGCGATATTTGCTGGTGCATAAGCACTTGCAACTTGATATAGCACAGCCTCTTCTGTTCATATCACTTCTATATATGTATCACGAAGTTCAAATGACCTGACAAGACTACTGCAGAGTTCCAGACCCTTGACTAGTCGGCGATATTCACACTTGGAATTCTCAACGGACTCCTGGAGGCCGGTAGGCGGACTGGAAGCCATAGAGCGGGTGGTGTGTGAACGCCATGATTGTAAATATGATAGATAAAGGGGCTTGTGCAGCAAGATATCGTTGAACCACGCAATATCGAAGTATCCGCTTCCAAATAATGCACCTGATAGAACGTTTAGTCTAGTTGCCCTGGGCTGCTTGGAATATCCAGCTGTCAGAGCTGGCCACTCCTTCGATGAGGGGTATCGCCAGAAACAAATCGAGGGTGATAGTATCACGAAACGGGCATGGCGAAAATCTCCTGATCGATGTAGAACCTCTATTCCATCATCCGGGAGCGTTTTCGAACTTGTCTTTACCACTCAATCTGGAGACCCAATGAAGACAAGTGAATCATGATGCAGTTTTAGCAGACAAAACTAACGGACTCCGTGTGCCGAGCTGCCGGATACTCAAGATACCCGGCCATATGCGCAGCATCAATTGCGTTAATACCCAAAACGCGATTACTGGGGCAATTAATTGGCTGAACGTTACGGACCGTGTGATTAATTTGCTCCATGTCGATATTATCAGTCCGTTGGTACGATGAATACATATTCACTGGTCGATGAAGACTCTGTTCGACTATATAATTGAATTGTCAAGCTTTCAAAAGTGTATACAACTGGGGGTGCTTGGTAACTCCAGGGGAACGCAAGAAAGGGAGCGCCTTGAACCTCGATAATACCCCCACCATTCAGTTCGAACGTCCTCCCGCCTTTCCCGACTTACAGCTCGAGGAGGTACTGACCTTGGGTTCCTGTAATTTCTATTCTCCGTCAGCTCAAGCCGGACTACAGCATACTCCTCACGCTAGCAAGCCCTACATTTGGCTGGCAGCATTTCTCGTTGATGCAAATAGCGGCGTCACACTCGCATGTAGCATTGGGAAAGGGATGGCAATCGCACTCAAAGTAGCGATCTCCAGAATCTATGCTGGCTGTGGTTTGACAAATGACGGCTTGTTGTCTTCAGGGGCGTTGCCGGTATGTGCTATGAATGAGATGTCATCTCTGCCGTTGAAGTAAGGTGGTCTCAGTGAGCAAACAGTGCCGTGGTGCAGATAACATCACGGGATACATCTACATCATTAGCAGTGTCTCTTGCTGCGATCCTCAAGAGCTGGGCTTACTAGTATTGAAGCCTTGAGGTCAGCTACTTCCTTGGCTGCGAAGCACATCAAGATTGATGACTGAGGTAGGACAATGCCAGGTTTGAGGGCTGATTTATTGCTGGTTGAGGGCAACCCAACGGAAGATATCATGACGACCCGGAGAATTAGGAAGGTTTGGAGTGGGGGAAAGGAAGTGGTGGTTGCCGAGGAGGAGGCTGGAGGTTGTGCAGTTATGTAAGGCTGCTTGTACTTCTGGGAAATGTATCGCTTGAATTCCTGAACGTTATGGAGTCAACGGTCCATTTGTTGGAATAACGGGCTGCTAGACATAGCTAGAAGCAAGGAGGTGCATAAGGATTAAGGCTGTCTAAGGCTTTAGGGATGAAGGGTATTAGTGTATAAGATTCCTTTGGTGAACTTGGGACATCTTACTTTCCCCTGCACAATCCACGTGGGAGTTTGAATGAAACTAAGTTACGGGCTTCATGGAATGAGAAAGATGCCAGATCTCACCTTGAAACGCTAGATCCGTATCTCGTTATACTTTGCCATCGTGGCTCAGCATCTGAGACAGCAATGCAGAAAGGAGTCTCGCCTGTCACTCATTGGGGGTGAGCATTCCAGCTGCGACGTTTTGAGATTCCAAAGAAAAAGACTGACGGGTATCGCTAGTTGGAGAAAAGCAACGAAGCCGGTGTATAAGTCAAGCACAGGGAACAACCGAGACATATCGTGTCTACATGGTCACCAAGCTTGCCAAGGACATTGCCATTGATATTCTGGAGCCCAGAGTTGAGGTTGAGAACTGCTGGAGAACTGCACGAGCCAACGCTTATTCTTGGTACCTGATCCTGATCAGCGACGAGACCGGTAGGCTCGTGCGACTTCAGAGATGATGACGACGAGGTAGTTGAACAATCATCTGGTGGTCTACTCGTGGATGCGATGCAGGCAGGCTCAGATGCAGATTTGTCACTGGTCATCTGTTCAGCATATAATTCCCTCAGCTAGCAATTTCAGAATGATCCAAATGTTCGCGACGGACGGCGAACCGTCCCAAAGCTGACGAGGCTGAGCTGTCAGAGTGTCTGCGGTCAATGCGTACGGCCGTGATTGAAACTGAAAAGGAGACTCTTTAGTCTTGCCTTCCCCACAAACACTGACATGACACGACGCGAGCGTTCCCAAGAAACGGCGTCTTAATATCATGTACGGAGACCTGTGCTTATTATTTTTCGTGCATTGGAGGGCGCCGCTAATATTATAGAAAGGCTCGGGAGTCGCGTAAACGACGACGCGATTTCCGACCATGCCATGTCTCCATAAAGACGGTGGGGATCGGGTCAGGCGCAGCAGAGCTAATCGTACCTGTGTAGCTAGCAGCTACACGACAGATGCCAGACTGTGAAACTGAGTTTGACAGCGTCGTGCCGACTAGCGTACATCAAGTACCTTGAGATTGTGGTTTTAGTCTAGATATTTGCTGCACCAACGTTGGCGACGAGCAAGCATTATCCCCTTCAAGACTCTATAGTAACATTAGAATAACGGTACGGAGTACTTGCCTTGGACTGACCCGTAAAGATCAAATACAATGGGGGGATGATCTAATCGCATCCATAAACTGGTGATGGAGGCGTATCAGTCTGGCGGCTGCAGCCTTTTTCCTGCAGGCCAAGAACAAAACATAAAGGGCATCTCGCACCGTCATATATCAAGAGCAAGTCTTGGCCGGCGAGGGTGACACGGCCTCTGCAACAGCGATCGAGGCGAATCTTTATCTAGTGTCGCCAGGCTGTGGGTTGCTTTAAGAATTCTCTTTGCCTATAAGGAAGCCAGTTCTTAGGTTAACTAGAGTGCAGTGCCACTGATCTGGCCGTGCTTGCTGCTGCGAACGAGTGCCATCCTGGAGTCTACATAGTATGTGGGAGATGGTGGGTACTTAGATAGTCGACTGTTCGTGCTCTCCCGGCATGTCATCGGTACTGCAACCATGGCGAGGCTAGGCATCCAGTGTAAAATGACCAGTCGGATCTTTGCTTTTTAACGATCGAGAGGCATCCCCTTGTTGGATTTTGCGAGATGCTGAGGATGCCAGCCGTCGTCAAGGCCTCAACGGACGAAA